AAATTTATTTAATTAGATGATGTTGAAGATAAAGTTTATTTTGTGTTGTAAAAGTTGATTTATAATATAATACTTACTCCCTGGTTATTATAAAGAAATAAAAAATAAATTTATTTAATTAGATGATGTTGAAGATAAAGTTTATTTTGTGTTGTAAAAGTTGATTTATAATATAATACTTACTCCCTGGTTATTATAAAGAAATAAAAAATAAATTTATTTAATTAGATGATGTTGAAGATAAAGTTTATTTTGTTTTATAATAAGAATAAAAAATAAATTTATTTAATAAGCTGGCCATAATAAATTTTATTTTGTGAAATATTTATTTACCTTTATAGAATTTAGCTAATTATTTTATTATAAAGCAATATTAAATTACAATGTAAAAATCCTTTTACTATTACTACATATTTTTAAAATAGCTATCTTCTGTGTAAGAAAAAAATACCTTCATTCATTTTTTTATTGGGATATAAATTTTTTTCTACTATTCCTTATTTAACATATGGGGTTTGTACTAGGAAAAATCAAGCTTCGAGGTCCCAAAACCAAAATGGATATTTTTGATGCAATTCAATCTATTACACAAGGATTATGAATGATTAAAGTTTCAGAGGGTGTTAAACAATGAGTAAAATTCAATGTTGACACAATCTACATGCGCACATTCCATAATCGGAAAAAATTTTTATTTTATAAAGCAGTTTTTTCATAATAAAAAAAATAAATTTTGTAGCTTAGGTTCTTACAATTATGCTTAAAGTTTTTTGTAATATCTAGAACTTTTTTAATTTAATAAATTAATAATAACAAAAAATTTGCTGATTACAATTTGAATCACGTTTTTAATTTTTTAATTGTTAATTTTTCCATATGTTTTGAATCATGGAATTTTTACATATTTAATATACAAAGTCATAGTTTTCATTTAGTATAATTTAATAAATTTTTATCATGTGAAATTTTGATAATTTAGATAATACTGTAACTTTTACAAATTTAATCTAGATATTACAAAAAACATTAAATCATATGCACAATTGTAAGAACCTAAGCTATTGAATAATGTAAATTTCATAT